AGGTTAAATACTTTGTTTCCTATTCCATGAATGAAAAAATCAAAATGTTTGAGTATTTGGGTGTTATTAATTCTAAGAAGAATCAAACAATAAGGGATTTGCAAAATCAACTTGATCTTCTTAAAATTGAAATATCCATGAAAAATAACATTATTAATTCCACTCAGGAAAATCTTAGAATCACTAGTTTGTCAAACTCATCTTTGTCTGCTGAAATTGATAATGTTAAAGATCTTTTGATCAAAGAACAAACGTGCTTCATACTTGGGCAAAATCTCACAAAAATGCTAATTATATTATTTCTGCTCAAATTCCACATTCATGTGAGAAAATTCTTGGGGGTAATTTTGCAGAAGCTGAAAAAGTCTTTAAGTTACAAGAAAAAGAATTTTAATTTTATTCCATGAATGAGATGAAAAACAATTTCAAAAATAAGTTTATCAGTAACTCTTTTATTAATCAGAGTCTAATTGATGAATACTGTGTTACTAACTCTAATGGTGTTACTGAGTGTAATGTTGAAATTACCGGAACTGATCCAACCTCTTACCCTGCACATCTTGTAAGACCAACTCCTCTCACTGAGAATATTATTGCCTTCCCTATCTCAAATGGAGTGTTTCATGCTGTTCATGAACAACTTAAGCATTTTCCTGATTGCAATGCATTTGTGAATAAGTCCAAATCAGACACTGATGATAGCTCATCATCTATCACTGATCATAATTTGTCTGACACTGAATTCAGTTGTGATTCAATGATAAACAAAAGGACACAAAGCTCTCTTGGTGAGTCTTACAAGTCGAAATGTGTTATGTCCAAAAATTGCTCACCAAGAAGAACTTTGGTACTAGAGTTTGTTACAGATGTGGTGATACCTCTCATAAGATCAGTGAATGTTCATTTGATAAATTATCTTTAAGAGATGATAATATTAAAGTTAGAAATGAAAAATGGACTCTTAAGTCAAATTCTTTAAACTGTCTTCCTAAGGAGTGTTATAATCTATTATCAAATAACTTTGTAAATGACCCATCCTCGAATGGGTCAGTGTGTTCTAACTAGTTTCTCAACACTGCAGGGTCAGGAGCATCTTTGGTACTTAGATAGTGGTTGCTCAAGACATATGACGGGATCCAAGTCTCTCCTGGAAGACTATGTCAAGAAAACTGGTCCTGCAGTCACTTATGGAGACAATGGAAAGGGGTTCACTAAAGGATATGGAAATATCAAATGCAATAACGTGGTTTTTCAAAACGTTTCATATGTAAAGGGTCTCAAACACAACATCATCTCTATCAGCCAATTGTGTGATGCTGACTATGAAGTTCACTTTACAAGGAAGGAAGGTAGAGTTGTCAACACTGACAAGAACATCGTACTTTCAGCAAATAGAAAAGATGATATATATGTTCTTGATATGTTCTCAAGTGACAAGGAAAACAAATCAAGTCATCTTTCAAACCCAAGTCATGTTCCAGTATATCTGTCCCTCTTCATTTACTCCACATGGACTTGTTTGGACCTATTCCTGTCCGTTCTCTAGGTGGAAATAAGTATAATCTAGTGGTTGTGGATGAGTTCACTCGATTTACATGGGTGATTTTCCTGAAGAAGAAAAGTCATGCTGCACAAGAAATTATCTCACTGATTCGTAAAAATGAGACACTGACAGGTCTCAAAGTTAAGCAACTAAGAAGTGACCATGGTACTGAGTTTCGGAATTCAACTCTTGAAGAATTTTGTGATCATAAAGGTATTGGGCAAAACTTCTCAACTCCTCGTACTCCTCAACAAAATGGAGTTTCTGAACGAAGAAATAGAACACTGATTGAGGCAGGAAGGACCTTAATGATTCATGTTGATCTTCCTATGTTGTTTTGGGCTGAAGCTGTTAATACAACGTGCTTTACTCAGAATCGATCTATAATTCACCGGATTCACAAGAAGACACCATATGAAATGCTGAAAAGTCGAAAGCCAGACGTATCCTTCTTTCACGTGTTTGGATGTATTTGTTATATTCTAAATCAGCGTGACCCAAGATCTAAATTTGAACCTAAGGCTGACAAAGGTATTTTTGTTGGGTACTCATCTATTTCAAAAGCTTTTCGTGTTTTTCATGTGAACATGCAATGCATTGAAGAATCCATTCATGTGAAGTTTGATGAGGAATCATACATTGATGAAAAAGTCACTCATTCTTCCTCTATTTTTCAAGAGCTTCTCTCTTGCCCATTTGACGAAGTTCCTCTTGCTGGAGATGAAGCTGATATTTCTGATTCTATCGTTCCAGTCCCAAGTTCCTTGAATCAAGATATTGCAGCTAGATCATCAAATAATTCGTCAGGTGCTGATGAAACCCTTGAAGCTGAAGATTCTCCTGCAACTGATAACTCGTCAGTGTCAAATTCTCTGGAATCAGCATCAGTTTCTGAACATCGATATCACCTTGTTGATCAAATTATTGGAAATATCCATGATGGTGTCCAAACCAGATCTCGTGTGTCTAATAACTTTTGCATGTATGTTAATTTCGTTTCAATGATCTTACCTGACAAGATACACTCAGCTCTTCAAGATGCTGACTGGATTAAATCCATGCAAGAAGAACTGAATGAGTTTGAAAGACACAAGGTTTGGACTCTTGTTCCAAGACCATCAGGAAAGACCATCACCGGAACTCGATGGGTCTATCGCAACAAGGTTGATAAAGATGGAATCATTACTCGCAACAAGGCAAGGCTTGTCGCTCAAGGGTTTACTCAAATTGAATCCATCGACTACGGGGAAGCCTTTGCTCCAGTTGCTCGCATTGAAGCAATCAGATTGTTTCTCGCATACGCATCCTACATGAATTTCATTGTTTATCAGATGGATGTGAAAACAACATTTCTTCATGGTGTGTTAGAAGAAGAAGTATTCCTCAATTAGCCCCCAGGCTTTGTTGACAAAGATCACCCTGATTATGTGTACCGATTAGACAAAGCTGTTTATGGACTGAAGCAAGCACCCAGGGCTTGGTATGAGACGCTGACATCGTATCTTCTTGAAAATGGATACAGACGAGGAGCAATCGACAATACTCTCTTCATCAAAAACAAAGGCTCAGACATGGTTCTTGTTCAAATCTATGTCGATGACATCATTTTTGGCTCTCCAAATGAGAAACTGAGCAAGGAATTTGCAGAGATCATGTCTTAAAGGTTAGAAATGAGCATGATGGGGAAGATGACCTTTTTCTTAGGTCTTGAAGTTCAGCAACAAAAATCAGGTATTTCTATTTGCCAAAGTAAATATATTTCTGACTTGCTTGTTAAGTATTCTCTCAGTGACTGCAAACCAGCCTCTACTCCAGTGTCCAAGACTGATAAGATGCACGCTGATCCAACTGGAACTGATGTCAATCACTCTCTGTATCGAGGAATGATTGGATCTCTTTTATATCTCACGGCAAGTCATCCTGATATCATGTTTGGAACCATTCTTTGTGCTCGATTCCAAGCTAATCCCAAGGAATCTCATCTCATGGTCGTCAAACGTATCTTTCGATACTTGAAAGGGACTCAAAACTTAGCACTATGGTATCCTCGCGACTCAGCATTTGAACTTTTTGGATACACTGATTCAGACTATGCAGGATGCAACTTAGACAAAAAGAGTACGTCTGGTGGATGTCCTTTTTTTTGGAAATCGTCTCATCAGCTGGTCTAGCAAGAAGCAAACATCAATAGCCATCTACTGCAGAAGCTGAGTATGTTGCAGCTGGGAGATGTTGTGCTCAGCTCTTATGGATTCAAAATCAGCTTCTAGACTATGGGATCAAGTTCTCAAAAACACCAGTGCCATTCAAATCACACAAAACCCTGTTCAGCACTCAAAGACGAAGCATATCGAAATCAAACATCACTTCATCAGAGATAATGTTGAGAAGGGAAAAGTTGTTCTTGAACATGTCAAGACTTCAGAGCAACTTGCTGATATCTTCACCACGGCACTGGATTCTCAAACAACTGCTTACATTATTGGAGAACTTGGAATGATTACTTTGTAATTAATTTTGCTGATTAATTTTACTAATGTTTGGTATTGTCTTATAAGCTGATGTACATTGTGTTGATGATGATATGCTGGTGATATTTGCATACTGAGCACTTGGTTTGATCTCCTATCTTTCTCTCTTCTTCAACTCTTCTAAACTAAAGTTGAATGATTCACTGTATTAAACCATACACTGATAACAACTTGAAACTCTTTGCCGATGGTTAGATCAAAACACCAAGATCTATCACACGCAACTATCTCTTCTTACCAATCTTACACTGATTTCGTGATTCAGTGTGACAAAACACACGCTGATGAGAACCTAACAATCTTTGCCGATGGTTAGATCAAAACACCAAGATTTATCACACGCAACTATCTCTTCTTACCAATCTTACACTGATTCCATGATTCAGTGTGACAAAACATACGCTGATGAGAATCTAACAATCTTTGCTGATGGTTAGACCAAAACATCAAGGTTTATCACACGCAACAATCCTTTCTTTACCTTCTTCTTATTCAGTGTCTAATGATTTAGTAAGATAAACCACTCACTGATAAAGACACAACACTCTATGCCGATGGTTAGATAATACAACTAGTATCTATAACACGCATCAATCCCCTTGCTAGCCCAAATGAAGCAAGTTGTACCTTGAATTAACGGAGAATCTCCCTCAGCATGTAACTTTTGTGACACTGATCTCAGCGCTTCCGCAAACACTGATTGTCGTTTCATCTTCACTCAACGGCTCTTTTACCCAACGGCTATTTTTCTAATCTGACAGGTTGTTACGATACGCCGTTGTTTTTGAAGAAGATAATCATTACCTTTTTAACGGCCCGTTTAATTCCATATTTAAACCTCTTTCCACCCTTATTTCAAACTTTCCTTCCACGATTTAAACTTCCTTCACTTATATTCAAAACCCTAGAACCCTAAACACTCTCTAATGGCGGCATCTCTGTTCACTTTCTCCTCTACTTCACGAAGGGTAATCCCTGCCCCAAACTCTCCTCCTCTTCCAATATACATCAAAGCCACCAACGTTATTTTCAACCCTGATATTCCAGATATTCATCGAGGTCTTGGACTCGATGATTTTGTTAATTTCTTAGCCTCCTGCCGCCTACGATACGCCATCAGTGACATTCCATCAGAGTTTTTCCCTGAACAAGTATGTGAGTTCTACTACACCGCAACAGTCAATGATGAAAACAATGTCATCACCGGGACTATTGGCCGTGGAAGACACTCCGTCTTTATTACCGCTGAACTCCTCAGTGCTGCACTCAGGTTACCTATCTTTGAACCATTCTCTGAACTGCCTTCTATTGAACGTTGTCGACGTCTATTCGATCAACTGGGATATGATCACTCAAAGGTTGGTGCTCGATCAGCTCTTATACTGCGCCAATGTATGACCCCAAGATGGAAATTCTTCACCGGTGCTCTGTGCAAATGCGTGGGTCATAAGTCTCGAAGTGGTGATCAACTGAGCACCTATGAGAAACAAGTCGTCTGCTCACTTCTTCTCAATAAAAGACTTGATTATGGGGCCTTATTCTTTGATCAACTTGTTCAGCTTCTTCATGCAAATGTACGTACTGATCACGTTCCCTTCCCACGCTGGATCGCTCTTGTGCTCGATAAATTTTTTACTGCAGATTACTTCTCACACTCTGGAAATCCCATCCAATGCCATCGCATGTCGATTCGAATGTATCAAGATGATCCGCTGGATACTGACATCGGAATCTCTGATAGGATGAGAGAATGGATTGCAAATCCTAACACTGTTCCTTCACTCACCGCTGATACTGATGAAGGAGCTGATGGTAATCATGAGGATCATGTCGGTCAAGAGGATGAACCACATGATGGTGGTCATTTCTCTCCTCAACTTTCTCATCATTTGGTCTCTGTTACTGAGAAAGTTCCCTCAGCTCAAAAGGATCCACTGATTCAGGGGGAGCAACCATTTCAGGGGGAGCACCCATCTCAAGGGGAGCATCCCTCACAGGGGAGAATCCACCCCGAGGGGCCAACCTTCTCCGGGGATGCAACCACGCTCACCAGTAGCTCTAGGTACTTCATTCCTTCAAATTCCGGCCTCAGCATTTAATGAACTTCTGACACTAACTCGGGACATGAGTCAGCGTCTTCTACGCGTTGAGGATGATGTTCATTAGCTAAAGGAAGTTCTCTTGCATACTCCTTCCTCTAGCCCCCAAACTGATGATGCTCAAAAAGGGGGGAGATACTGATGATGATGATGATGATGATGATGATGATGATGATGATTATGATAATGCTGGTGATAATCCAAAAAGAGAGAGACACCGAATATGTTGACAACTCCTTAGTTCAGATTGAGCCACCACAGCAGATGTACGAGTCTGACTTTGCGAAGCCTAATAGTCCAGCAGATACTGAAAAGCTTGTTGAAGATAGTGAGCATGATGATGAACAAGATGATGAATGTCAAATACTGGATATGAACTTCATTGATCCTTTTATTCCAGTCCAAGAAGAAGATTCAGATGATCTTGATAATTAATCTCAAAGGCCAGACATGAAATTCGCTGATCCCATTGTTGATCCCATTATTCCAGTCCAAGGGGAAGATTCAGACGTTGCTAGTGAAGATTCTCATCCGCTATCTCACAAGCGTAAGGCAGCAGATACTGACTTGGCTTCTTCACATACTGATACTTCTTTGTCTGGCAAGAAACCCAAGTCCATAGTCAGTATATCAAATTTGGAAACTGAATGGAACATGTCTCCTGATCAAGTTAAACAAATTCTTGATGAAGCTAATCAAGCTCAGCTTCTAAAGAACATTGCTCAAGCAGATGAATCTCTCATTCAGCATAAACTTCAGTCCAAAGGAGCTTTTGAAGCTCAGATGCAGAAATTCTTGGAATTTCAGTCCAAATCTCAATCTTCTCAGGCTCCTCCTAGCAGCAGTAAGCCTAAGACTGATAGTGCTCTAGACAGGATTGATCGAAAGAGGTTTGAAGATGTTCTTAGACGACGAGTGTGTAGTGATAAAATCATCAAAGTTAAAGCTTCCAAACCACACAATGAGAAAATTCTTACGTTGCTGATTACTCGTCAAGGTCCATAACATTCATACACTGAAGTTGTCAAGAGGGATTAGCTGATCAAATATGGATATTCTGAATGGATGGAATTACTCGAATTGGCATCCAAGCAAACCTCGGCTCACTCCTCTGAACTGACATGTGCTCTTCATCTGCTAATCAAGAAAGTTCAGCGTTTGGACCTTGTTCCTAAAGAACGACCACAACATCAAGGCCAATGGTCATCTGTTCCTAGAACTCGAAGAACCAAATTTCAAGTTGATTGTGAAGATGTGTTGGTTCTGGATTTTGGTGCTGGTGGGATAAACAACTCTCTTCCTATCAGCGTTGACCCAGTTCAACATAAATTTATCTCAGTTCCTGAACACGGGATGTTCTATCTCGATAAAAACAGAAAAATGTGTTTTCAGCGAACTGCTGAGATTCCAAAGGCTCCAACCACTCATCTAGTTGGCTTAAGGCAAATGTGCATGAGTCATCAAGATCTCTCCGGAGAGTTTCACATCCTTATTGCTATGGAGCTGCTGAATAGAAGACAGGAGTTACTGGATAGTCCTTACTGGCCAGTAAAAATAGAAGCTGAAGCTGAGTATGAAGAGTTCTTGTCCAGAGGTGTTCTAATTTAGTTGGTTTTGAACATCATCATATTGGGGGAGATTGTAAGGTCAAACCTTGAAATATGATGATGTTTGAAATAAATCTTTCAGCATCAGCGTATATCTCAGTATCAGCATCAGCATTTCAGTAGCTCAGTGTGTTTAGTTTATTCAGTGCATTGTAACAGATTTTGTATTTATCTTGTTTCCATAGTTAACGTAAATTAGTTAGCTGGCATATCCCTGATTTATAGGGATTGTCTAGAATAGCAGTATATAATATTTTGTATTGGTTTGTGAAAGGTTACGCCTTTCATAAACCCTAATAGCTGCTTTGTGCACACGATAATCTCTTTGTGAGATTATCTTTCTTAGTGAAAGTTTTTCTTTGTGAATTCTTCTTATTCTTATTTACTGTCATTGTTTGATAAATTGATTAATCTAAGGGCTTTTCAATTTATAATAGGGCATGTGTTGTTGATTGTCAAGGAAGCAATCATAACTCTTGTATTGCGTTCGAAGGCCTGCCTATGACTCAGGTTTAATAGCAACATAAGACTTCTTATCGCTTAGAAAGAAAGCATATTCTTGTATTGTCTTTTTTGCGGACACCCATTTCATTTCACCAAAATCTAGTTCCCAACCCTTGTTCTTTAGACTACAATAGTGATTCATCACATAAAGGTTTTCACCAGAGCTTACAAGCTCTGGATACTCTAAGTCCGGCTTTGGAAAATCATTGGTTTCCAATAACGTCCATTTGAGCAGTTGATTCGGATCTAAAATGAGTTTACATACAGAAAAATCGGTGTGTAGAGTGTATATCTTCCCCTTGAAAGCATGTAAATCATAAATTGGGACAATGGAGGAGACATGACTCCATTCTTGTTTACCTGCTATATAATACGATATTTCTGGTTTACTCTCTCTAATACACCATACTTTTCTACGTAACACAACAAAAACCCACCTAAATATTAACGGCGAAAAGACAAGGATAGCCCTGATACTGACTTCACGAGTACATTCATCTAAGGGGAAATTAGGGAAATGAAGTTCATGTCTTGTGATAGGATTCCCAAGCCAAAATTCCCTGGTTTCCCACCCGAAAAAGACCAAGTAACCTGAAGTTAATCCAAAATAGATTCTGCCATTAGAATAAGGAATTATGGTTTTGAACTTTCTTTCTACAAAGTCTTTCAGATAACAATACTAGTCTTGGTTTCTAGCACGGGAACATATCTTAATGGGTGGTTTGGAAGCCATAAACATTTTCCAATTCGAGAGTGTAAGTGATCTCCTTGATTTGCAAACTCCACTGAATGCAACGAAATCAACAACTCCCAAAATTATCATAACTAGAAAAATCACATCATGGCCAAGATTTAACCAATGTGACACACCAATGTTTTCAAAAATCTTGAATCTCTTCATGGTAGATAAGGATGATGATGCATCATCATCATGATTTTGGTTTCTAGTCATACTTCTTGTTTTTACCTTTCCTACACTTGAAAAAGGAAAATAAATACCACATAAGATACAAGACTTGTAAACAGGGGACAAACATACACATATAAACATGGTACTTGCCTACATGGAAGAATGAAGATCTCCCACATGGTAAAATTTTGTTTTTGTTACTAATGATGGTAGGTCTTAGAGGTATAACGCCAGAAGAGTAGCCATTGTATGATTGATTAATACAAAACATTTGCCCTAACTACTTCCAAAAATTCTGTTTGTAGCTAGGAAATATAGCCAACTGATTTGGAAAACAGTCTAAATCATAGGTTTATATGCCCCTATACAATATTAATAAGGGAAGTGTAACACATATAAATAAACCAATTAGTGAGTACTAATTTCTAACCATCCCTAAAACATAAGAAAAACAAAATAAACTTCCATTACATATCGTTGTTAGCAGCAAGTTATATAGAATTATAGATCGCAACAGCTCATTTTGCAAACTAAATTGCACCATTACTAAGTGTAAGGTGTAAACAACCGTGTTAATGAGCCAAATTAAACTGATTTGAACACAGTGAATTAACTAAGGGCAAAAACTCAAATCAGGTGGATTAAATCCGTCGTCGTCAGACCAAACTAAGGCAAAATAATCAGATTAGGGCATAAAGTTGAAACTCGTAGGCTGAATTCCATAACTAAGGGGGTGTTTGGCTTAGCTTTTTAAAGGACAAAAATCCTTTTTGGAAAAGTTGCAAAAAGTTAGTTTTTCTAACTTTTCCAAAAAGTTGATTTTCCTTCTATCCAAAATCTAAAAGTAACTTTTAAAAGTCTTTTGCCAAACATCTTTTACCTTTAATCTTTTCTTAAAAGGACTTTTGGCCTCTCAAAAGCTAAGCCAAACACCCCTTAAATCAGATTTTGCAATAGATTTTGTAGCATGAACATGAAAGGTAAAAGGTTTTACTGAAGATGGTCTTGAGACAATTGTGCTTGTGAAATGACATCCACGATTTTAAAAGAGCAAATTACACGAATGGTCCCTATGGATTAGGTAATTTGTGTGTTTGACTCTTAACCTATTTTTTTTAACTCGGAAGGTTCCTGCCATTTGTTTTTATTATGCGTTTGGTCATTGTCTTTCCAAAAAAACTATTTTTCCTTGATTTTTAATTTATTTAAATAAACAACCCCAACCCCTCCCCTCTCACCTTACCTTACGTATCCATTATTTTCCGTATTTAAATAATAGTCGGTTTAGGTAAGACAGAGATCAAATGCGTAACAAAAACAAACAGTATGAACCAAATGCACAAAGTAATCCAAATCATAGGGACCATTCGTGTAATTTACTTATTTAAAACTTTTTGAAAACTGAAGAAAGCTATTAAAATTTATTTTTAATTCAATATATACTTATTTTTTCAAAAAAAGTTTGACAACTAATAAGTTTTTGCCTAAGAGTTTTTTTATTTTATTTTATTTTATTTTATTTTTATTTTTATTTTTATTTTTATCATTAATAATAGGTTTTCAACCAATTACAAATAAAATCAATAAATAAACAAATTAAAAAAAGGTTTTCTTTTGCAATTATAAAAAATGAGCTTTTATAATTAAAGTTTTTTCTTTCATCAAAAAACTTTTCTAATATAGATCTTTTTACAAAGGAAAATCTTCAAAAACATCACAGTATTTTAGGTTGGTTTACAAAATATTCCAAAATTATTATTTTTTTATAAAAAAAAATTCTTAAAAACCAGTAAAATGTTGTATTCTGACCATTTTTTTTTCCCGATTTAACCAATAATAAATTAATTTGGAACTATTTCGTAAACAAATCCAAAATATTAAGACGTTTACACAAAAATTGAAATATTGTTGCTACTAGTATTTCATAATCTGGCCTAATATATATACGAAAAACAGTTGTATATATTTTTGCACCTTAA